TAAAATCTTCATGTATACCATTATTTCATTTTTGAAAAAAATTGATACGAAAGTTTTAAATGACATTTAGTGAGGCAGAAAATAATCACTATCCAGAGATAAAGAATAGATGGCGTATCTTTTTCTATTTGTTAAGATATAATTTCTCACTTTTTAGAAATAATATTTTGCTTTTAAGTTTTATAAAAGCGATATTTTTTAAAAAAATTTGTTAGTTTCCTGGAGGTAAGCCCAATTTGAATGTTCAGTTAAAAAAAAGTTAATGTGTAAGCTTAATCCATTTTCAAAACCTCGCTTGGATTAGTTAAAAATGTATTATAATGCAGTTTTCAGGAAAGAGTTTGGTAGTAAAAGAAAAAGATACTCTAAACGCTGGATGAGTAGTATTTATAACCAAGTATTATGTGATCACTAATTTTTAGGCATGTTCTCACCCAGCAAAATAATCAAGTGTATCAGCCAAAATATCTCAGAAATACCGATTCTTCGTTATTTGTCTTTTACCTCATAAAACTGGTAGGGAGGAGTCAGTCCTCAGGGTAATAAATGAGATACTTAAAGAAAATGAATTTTATGAAATTTTTAGAGTTACTGAGAATTTCTTTTACCATTTTGTCCATAAGTGGTAGATGACCAAGGGTTCATGTATGGCCCGGTGGAGTTTAAGCCTCACCTCTCTGGGATTTGTATACATTTTTTGAGCTATAACCGAGTGGGGAAGAATTTTGAGAGTTAAAAGTAGGATAGTTTAATTTTAAAGGCAGTAGAATAATATGAAATGGTGCCATTTCCTCCGTGTACACACTCTGGTTATTTCTAGCTGAACATTTGAAATGTGAAAGACCAAGCCCAGTTTTCAGAATATTCATTGAATTTCTTATACCTCTTGATTTGTGATCCCATTTCCTCATCTGGGGTTTTCAGAAATGGAAACTGAGCACAAAAATGGGCTGGACTTTCCAGCTTTTCCTTATATAGATAATATTTCAATAATTCAGTAATTCAATTCATAAATGAACTTCTTAAGAGTCTTTGAATCTCCAAGCCTAGCCTGGCAGGAGGGAGGTGTGACGTGAGGGGAAAATTAAGTAGTTCAAGAGGCTTTTATCAAAAAGGGTAAATGCTACCCATTTTCCCATTTCTATTGTGAAAGTTCAAACACTTGAGTAAAATAGGATTATAGAGAACTACCATCTATATTTATTGGGCACTCTCTCAACCCTATAAGGCCAGTCTAATTATCTTTATAGGTGAAGAAACTAAGGTTCAAAGAGATAAAGATCAAACAGCTAAAAAGTTTAACAGAATTAAAATGGAAACTTGATCTCTCCTTATTCTCAGGAAATCTCAACCTAATAAGGATATAAATAAACAAGAAAGTATTAGGCAAAATGTAAGTGCCGTAAGAGAGGTTGAAAAAGTGCTATCAAGATTCAGAGGAAGGAAAAAATCCATCTAGCTGAGAAGCTTGACAAGAAGTATTTTATTTTATACCCACTCTATGCCAGTTACTGTGCTGGACATTGAGAATATAAAAATGAATAAGGAACACCCCTACCATCAGGGAGTTTATAGTCTAGTATATTCGAGGCACAGAGCTATGTACTTTGCCTGGAATGTGGGAAACTTGGGGCAATATTTTAGAAAGACTAAATGCTGTCACGTAAGTATTGGTAGCCAATCTGTTCCTTGTTCGGAATCCGTTTCACTTTGCAAACCCAGACCTGAGTCTGGCAAAGAGCCTTGAGACTAAGTTTTGCTATAAATAGGCATGGCTTTCTCTGTAGGAGTATGAGATTTCGTTCTCAGAACTCATACCGTGCTTTCCCAGTTTGAATACTGTCTTAAGAAAGTGCTCCGAACCCAAAAATTTCTTTAATGAGGATTATTTTTTTTATTCAGAGGCAAGGGTCAAAGAGTAAATTGTTAGAACATGAGCTTTGGAGTAAGATAACCTATATTTGAATCCCAGGCCCTCTATTATATGACCCTGGGAAAGTAATGTTGCTTCAGTTAACATTATTTATAAAATGGAATTAAAAATATTTTACAGGGCTTTGTAAGCAGTAAATGAGGTACACGTCTGAAGCAATTTAACACAATGCCTGGGGTATAACAAACCATGAAATGACTGCCATGATTATTATCAGTTATGATAATTCCTGATAGAGCCTTCTCCACAAGCAGCACTGTGGAATATTCTCTCAGTGAATATTCTGTACCTCAAAATTATAATTTAGAAACCTCGAGGATTAACTTAGATCGTTTATATTTAAGTATGCATAAGGACATTTACCTCACACTATGACACAGGATCAGAAAACTACAAAGTCATAGATAACCAAAATACTCACGTGTATTTCTGGTTTCTCATTCTGTGTTTTAGAGCAGCAGTCCCCAACCTTTTTGGCAGCAGGGGCCAGTGCTCCTATGAGAATCTAATGCCTGATGATCTGAGGCGGAGCTGAGGTGATGACACTAGCGCTGTGGAGCATCTGCAAATACAGAGGAAGCTTTGCGGGCTCACCCGCTGCTCACCTACTGTTGTGTAGCCTGGTTCCTAACAGGCCACAGACCTGTACAGGTCCCCAGCCCCAGGGGTTGGGGAATCCCTGTTTTAGAGCACTTGACCTAGAACCAACTTGTGTCTCTCTTTTTCTCCCATGCTCCCAGCCTTTACTCTCTTGCTTATTTTTTGGCCTCCTATTTGTTCAAAGTCCTGTCTCACTGCCATCTTTGTCCTTTCTTCTAGGCAGTGATGTGTGCCCGGCCTACCTCTTGCCCTCTTGCCCATTCCCTCCCATTATTAAAACAGGAAATAGAGCAGAAGCCTTCTATAATTGATAAGAAAACTGATAGTATCCATTGGCCTACTGAGTTCCTATCCTTCATAGAAAGGAAAAAAAAAAATAATCGAACTAAAAATGAAGAGGACACTGGGTACAGGAAGTGAGAAATACAGCACAGGAAGTGAAGGAGATTTCCAAGATGATAGCGAAAGATAATCCCGGAGTGATAGCTGTGCACACCAGCTGATAGAATGAGCTCATACACAACTCAGAGAGACTTTTTCGGAAGATGGAATTGATAGAATACCTGACCCTTCTGGAAGGAGATTTAGGCAACTGATGAAAAGTTTGAAGTTGAGTCAATAATTATGCTGAAAACTAAGCAAAGAGAAAAAAGGCATTGACTCAGGGAAAAAAAAAAAATTGTTCAGGCAAGGAAAACTATACTTCACTACATGGCTTAGCTTTGAATTGCATTTCTATATTCTTGACGATAAAAGTTTGATATTGACCTAACAAAAATTACTATGTAACTGGAGGATGTGTATATTTATGTGGGGATGAGGAAAGAAAGAGAACTTCCATAGTAGAAAGTTAGTAGATAAGCATACTATTTGAAAAAATGGAAGTAAATACCAAAATACTCAACCAAAAGCAGTTGCCTTTGAAGAAGGAGAAATTGGAAGAGGTGAGCAGGGGACTCTTCTCTTTTTGTGCTAATCTTGTAGAACTAATCGACTGTTTTAACTTGATGCAAGTATAACTGATAAAAAATTAAAACTAAAACAGAAAAAGCACTAATGCTTAGTGACGAAGGCTAAAAAAGGAGGCGAAAGAACATCTAGAGGGAAGAAAAATAGGTCACAAATTGTACTTATTTATAAAACGTACAAAGAAAATGTTTGGAAGAATATTATTTCTGGATTGAGAATTTTTCCCTTTTTTGTACTTTTCTAAATTCTTTGCAGTGGGGCATGAATTATCTTTGTAATCAGACCAAAAGCTTTTTCATGTTACAGAAAAGTAAAACAATTAGAAATGTGAGAGAAAACCTATGTATAAAGATGTTTGTTACAGCATTGTTTATAATCCTAAGAAATCAGAAACAACCTATCTAATCAGGAAATAGGTAATGAATTATGTTACACATACCTAATGAAATATTTTACAGGTGTCATTTTTAAAAAAAGGATCTAAATGAGTTTTACTCATATATCATAAGATTTTTACCTTTAATTATGCTATATCCTCAGCTTAAATGCCCTTTTCCTCCCTTCTCCTTTTCATTGGCATTTCCTGAAGCATTATATCCTACATAAAGTCCCTCTGACAACCACCACCATCCCCTACCTGCCCCACTCCACTCCACTCATATCTCCATCCCAACTGTGTGAGTTACCCCTGAATATTCTGTGTTTTCAAAATATTCTGAACAGATACTCTATATCTGCACTTACCATCTAGAATTATAATTATCTGTTTATCTATCTTCCTTATTAAATTTTAATCTTCCTGATAGCTTTTCTTCTGTTGTTGATTTCTAGTTTCATATCTTTGTGGTCAGAAAAGATACTTGATGTGATTTCAGTCTCCTTAAATTTGTTGAGACTAGTTTTGTGACCTAACATATTACCTGCCCTGGAGAATGTTCCATGTGCACTTGAGAAGAACGTGTATTCTGCTGTTGTTTGAATGTTCTGTTAGATCCATTTGGTCTAAAGTATGGTACAAGTCTAGTATTTTCTTATTGATTTTCTGTCTGGACAATCTATTTGTTGTTAAAAGTCTGCTGCTACTATTGCATTGTTGTCTATTTCTTCCATTAGATTTGTTACTATTTACTTGATATAGTTATGTTCTTCAATCTTAGCTGCATATATATTTACAATTGTTATATCCTCTTGATGAATCATTATACAATGACCTTTGTTTCTCATTATACTTCTGCTACTTCAGTGCAAAGCACAGGGCATAATCAACATTAGGTACTTAATAACTGTTTGCTGGATAAAGAGTAATATGAATACTTCTGTTATCATATTAAGTAGATTAGGGCAAGTAATTCCTACATTTCAGGTTATTATGAGGATCAGATGGGAAAATTCTTGTAAAATATCTGGTAAAATGCCAAGTATAGGTGTTCATAGGATAAAAATGATGGTGATCGTGCTAATAAGGCTGATAAGGGCTGTGCATCTTTTGCTTTCACAGAGAGCCCCAATACAAGCCTTGGACCTTGTGGATGGATTTTGGTGTGTTTCTCATTCTTGTTCACAGTTATAACGTTCCCGTTATCAATATGGATGTGCATAAAGGTAAAAAATATTTCATTCACATTTGGAAAGATGCCAACTCCTAACCACATAAACCCATTTTTGTCTGTGAGGGTGGGGGGACTGGGGAGTGTGTGTGTCAGAGAGACAGACAGCATACTGGCCTGTAATTCTTTTCCTTCATTTCTCTTTTGAAAAATTCACTCCTGTCACCTATTACAATGGAATCTTAAAACTATTTTTCGGCCATCATTTAGTCAATCCTTCCTGAAGGTTAAAGTAAAGATAACCATCTAAAGTTTTCTGGAGTCAGGGTTGTAGGATGGTCCTGTGAGAATAAGTTCTTGAAAGTCAGGATGCTGAGTGGTTTGACTGCTGGTTCCATTATTTACAGTGTGACCTTTGCCATGTTTCCTCACCTGTAAAATGGGAGGAAACATTAACACGCAGTTCATAGGGCCGCTGTGAGGATTAAATGAATTAATGTATTTAAAAGTACTTATCACAATGCTTGGTGCATGGTGAGTGCTTCTCAAACGTTGGTTATTTTTTTCTATAAAATTATTAATACTTTGATAAATGACTATCATTTACATATTCCTAAAAAGATAAAATATGCTCCGAGAATTTTCAGATAAGTTTATTATTATAATTTAAGGAATCAGGAGACAAACTCTGAAGACTTTAGCTTTTTTTCTGTATTAACAATGCATGGGTAATTGAATAATAATGTTAATAGCTGAGGTGTAGGTTTATAAATTGCTTCTGTATACTATTCTCTACCTTCCAGCTTTTATAGAATGAATATCTATCGCTTTTATAATAGTAAAAAAATAGTAAATAAATATCATACTCGGTGGGGTTATTAGACATTGGGTATATTATTTATAGCTATAACCTGGACTATAAGAAGAAAACAAAATAGAGGCACCTAACCTGTTTAGAACAGAAATATATATTTAAAAAGTTATACATATAAATATTTGTACTCATATTAAATTATTATTTGTGTTTTTAATCTAGATAATAAAAGAATATGAAAGAGCTATCATCTTTAGATTGGGTCGCATTTTACAAGGAGGAGCCAAAGGACCTGGTCAGTACTAGAATTCCAAATTGTTTGCCTGGAGACTGAAATTCTTCCTTTTATTGATATGATTTTCCTCATAAGAGTCTCTTCTCTGTTGACTTAGAAAAGAATTTGTATAACAGAAATTGGATAACAATGGCGATGGTGCTAGCCAATCTTGTTATAATCAGCCTTTCCTTCCCTTCTCTCCCCTCCCTCCTCTTCCCATTTGAGCTGATAAGATTACCATAGGCCAGGAATAGCTACAGCTATGGACATTTGACCATGAGCAGCCCTACCGAAATAAAGGCTTTGAGTCGTTATTCTCGGTAAACTTCGATTACACTCCTACTGTGTTCTAGGCTCTGGGAATTCATAGGAGACTAAAACACAGTTTCTGCCCTCAAGGATCTTACTGTCTAGTGGTGGGACACAAGGAAACAACTGGGCACAATCCCATGTGATAAGTATTATGATCAAGTAATCACAGATAGCTGTGGAAACACAGAGACTAGTGACTGACCCCAACTAGTAGGATGAGACAAGGCTGTCCGGAGCTGACAACCTGGCTGAGATTGCGGCATGAAAAGGTATTAGCCGAAGGGG